TCAGAAGCTTTATTATATTTAACAGAAACTTCATAACCAAGAAAAATTTGTACATACTTTTAAATTTTATTTTGGAACTTTAAAAATCAAACATCTTAGAGCAGTGCTATTCAAATTTTCTGGTAGTGCGATCCCATAAAATTGCAGATGACCCCCCCCCCAAAAGCAATTTTGCGACTCCAATCAAGGCATCAAGCCTTAGTTATATACTATCACCTCAGACTATTTTAGGATTTTTATCCTCCTTGCGACTCCACAATAAATTTTCGTTACCCAAATGGGGTCGAAATCCATAGTTTGAATAGCACTGTCTTACAGGAAAACATTTTCTAACGGTCTTAATAATTTTTTAATCGACGGGCTATTGTTACAACCAAAAATTAAAATGCGTTTTTCCTAGTGTTATAAAATTTATTTGGGACAATAAGCCCAAAAAAGTAAATTATTAAAAATGCTTAAAACGTAAGTGCCACGGTATCAAAATTGTTAATAAAATGTTTAAGGATAGATAGACTAATTATTTTTCTGCGCTGCTACCGCAATACCCAAATAAAAGAAAATGTTATGATTTTGATTCTGATGTGCTTTAATAACCTAAAATTAGATAAAAGATAAATATCGACTTATCTATATATAGTACCAAAAAAAGAACACGTAATGTCGTTACCTGCGAAACACGTATTTATTCAGAAACTTAAAATTGTAGCAGAAATATTGATAAATATTTGGTCACAAGAAACTACCTAGCACTACTCGCAAATAACATTCGCGAGTTTGTCATAGAAGAACAGCACCTCGAAGTAAGCAAAATCTTGAAACATCGCAAAAGTCACAAATTAAATTTCGACATCATTACTAGTAGAAAACTATAGGGCTTGGTAGGAATGAGAAATGGGAAATTATTTTCTAAAAAAAATGAGCTGCTTGGACATTCTCATTGATAGTCGAAAAAATAAGCTGTTATATGAAGAAGCGTGAGGACTTGCCGAAGAAAACTTTCGCGCCGAATCGGCGTGGGATGAACAGTTACCAGACAAGTCTTGCTACCTTTTATTCACTCGTGCGAGAGTAAAGCTGAAAGGGAAAGAGAGGAGAAAATAGAACGAGTAAACTTCAAACCGATTTATTTATAGTCTTTTTAGGCAAAATCCGTTGCTGCTCTTGAAATGGATTCGGAGTGAAAAATGTGAGGGCTTGCCACGACATTCCCTCCGCCCTACGAAGAAAAGGACAGCCATATCACGGCATCGAAACCTTGAAAAGCTGATTTATGCAGCACATATTCGTGTAGAACCAGCCCGACGTTGTAGGTGAATACTTTGCACTACACCTTTTACTTAACACTAAAAGTTCACAATTGTACAAAGTTCACAATTGTCATTTTTATAATCTCTCACCCACTGTGATTTTAGGATGACCTCTTCACAATCTTGAAACACTCATGATCATTCACTGCATGAGTGAATTAGCTTTATGAATTAGCGTGATATTTTCCCAATTTTTCCCAAATTTGTGATTTGAGACTACACAGTTTTCAAAATATCATTACTATTTTCTCAATATCATACCTTAAAGAGTTGGCATTATACATTGTCCTGCCTACTACATATCTGATTCAGAATTCACAAATTTACATGTACTTTATATTTATATTGATTGAATGTCATTACATATCATAAGATTTTACGTAATCAATCAATTTTTAAACCTAATTACTAATACAATTTTCATACAGTGCCAATAACATAAAACATTCACATTCACATTATTTTTTATTTGTTTATATTATTATTATTTCATATTGCATTTCTTATTTCTTTCAATTAATTCATATGTTTCAATTATTCAAATTCTTTCCGTAATCCCTGACCATTATTTCAGTTACAAGTCGCAAAAATTTCATGTCTCTCCTGTTACTAGTACATAAAAAAGTCTTCTATATCTTTTTTTTTTTTTTTTTTTTTTTTATATAATTTGTAAGAATTTTTTCGAAATTCCATGACCTTACTCAGCCCGGACTAGCCTGCATCTAATCAAACATATTTTGTACATAGATAGATCAGTTTAGAAAAATTATATGTGAAATTGTTTTTTTTTTTCTGTATGATGTAATATGAAAAGGTGAAAAACAAGATGTTCTGCCGAAAAAATAAGGATACAGGGGCAAGTCTATTTAGCATTGAGTAAATGGCTATCTCGCTAATTTGGTGAAATATCACCAAGCAGGCAACGGTTTTGGCCAAAGCCAAAAGTCGTCAAACTCAGCGACCATTTAGCGACATTTGGATCCGGTCCCTGTATAACTGTAATAGATATTCTTAATTAACTAACTGTGATTGATGCTTTGTAACGGTGTTCGGCCCTCATATGCCTTTCAGTAATTTCATGATGCTGAAATTACTTGAAATATCTTAGCTGCCGAGTGAGTATTATCCAAGACTGAAGAGAGCATAAGTTCTCAGTTGCTGTTATTGTTAGTTGTTTAGTTCAGCGTAATATTTCTGTGGAAAGTTTCAAAACTCTAAAGTGTTTCATTTGATAAAATAAATTTTACTGATAAATTTTATCGGACTCGTGTGCATCCAATTTATTATGGACGCGTACGAACGCAACAGTCCCACTAGACTGCGGATAATAAATGGAACTTCCCCTATCCTCAATATTTAAATCTTTTAGAAAATTTTCAAATTCCGCTGAACGGAACTTTGATCCTTTAAACGGATAATATTATTTTAGGGACACCAAATTTTGAAATACATAGATTAATGAATCTTATAATTGTTGCTGAAGTGATGTTGGTTAAAAGAATCGCTAACTATCTCGAATAATGATCAATGATTGTTAATAAATTTACCTACTATGTCAATTGCTAATATTTCTCCAGGGGCTAAATCAGTAATTAGCTAATAATATTTTTATATTACTGGCAACTGTTCTTGAAGTTTTGGGTTTAATCCACAAACATACCAAATGTAATAGAATATAGAAAGTCCCAGTATCAAATGTTATATAAATGAAGCCATTCGGAAGCCAAAAAGAAGAGATTATTAAAAATATTTAAAATGTAAATGTCATGTTATCACTTCAACACATATTTTGTACATATCGAATGTTGATTATTAATTAAACATCACGGTTATTACCATAATTAAATGTCATTCAATTTCTAACGTATATTACCAATACTACGGCAACAGCATACATTCAATTAATTGAATCACATATGTAGAAATTTTTGTTATTAGGTACATATATTACATAAGTTCTCAATCTGACTTAATTTACATAGATTTTTTTTTTCAACGGCACCAAATATAATAGGAAGATTAATAATCTGCAAAAGTAATTGGGCTTGAGGTACAGAACAAAAATCATGGTATAAATGTGTTTCCCAAAATTAATTGACACTATAGTAAAGAAAAACATATAATGTTGCGTGGCCCCGACTTGTCAGCAACAGTAGTAGTGACTGCTATGAACTGTAAATTACACAAATTCGTAAGAAGGGTTTAAATCCCTTTTTATTTCACTTTATAAATCCAGTTGCGCTCACTTGACGCTCACAAATACGCTACCGCGTTTAACAAAATAAAAAGTACAACTAAATAAATGACAGATTAATAATAACGAAATCACTATCTACGAGGCTCTATATAGTAGTAAACTTAAACGCGCTCTAAGATACAGCGGATTCAGCAAACTTATGATTAAGAAGTTGAAAGAGTCAACGAATGCCGAAAGAGGCACACAGCCGAACGCGCGGTTTCTTAATTCTACCTAGCAACTTCACGCTCGCGATCAAGAAGCACACTACAATCTCGTTTCCCTTCTATTTAAATCAATTACTTCTGCTAAATTTATACTCTGCGCGTTCTATACAATTTAATACTCGGCTTGCATCTAGGGAAGTAAAGGCTTGACAGGAAAGATAGCTTAAAATAAATGTTAGTTAAAATAAATATAAACCCTACAAACTAATATTCCGATATAGGGAATATTCTGATGTGGGGGAAATAGAGGGAAGAGAAATGCATTTAAGAGCTATTTAGAATTACGAAAATGTAGATTTATCTTGAGTAAAATACACTTATTTGAAGACTGCAGCATTCTAGTAACCTGATCATGTTATTCAATTTGAAGAGATAAGTCTGACTGCTTCTTCTTTCTTGATTTAAATAAAAAAAATGTTTGTTTAGTTTTCACTTTCTCTTTTATTACTTCACAAGTCTTGACTGGTTAAATTGTTATCGGAAGGATCCTAGCTAGGCAGAAGAGAAGAGCGGATTGGATTATTTTAATCAAGGCAAAACACAACACTGGAGCTACTGACTAAACGGAGGAATGACAGTAAGGAGAAATTTTGAGTGAATTGAGTCATATTTACGCTACGGGACTTACTACATTCAACAATTCTCGTTAATGCCAGGCGAGTAACTTCTGAAAACGAATTCTTCTCAGCGGTGGATTTGTGAAATAAAGGGTCTATTTCATTTGAACTTCAAGTAAAATGGACCCTTTATCTTAACATTCTGGGTATTTTTACCGTTTTAAAAATTAATGTGTGATTTAAACACCAGTTGGAAAGTGAGGCCTCTGGAGCTGCGATTTGAGTGACCCATAAATCTGCCTCTGGCCCGTGGAAAACCAGTTTGAAGGAACGGATTTTAAGTGCTACGTTTTACTTGGAGATACAAATTGTTGATATAATTCTCGTTTTGTGTGAAACTTAAATCATTAGAAAGATAATAGATAATGACTAGAGCCTTCCTTCATCAATCGGAGCATTAACATATCACTGCATGGTGTCCAAGTCAAACTGCAGACTCAAGGTCCTACCACAGCTACATGAGCAAAATCTCCAAAAGGCTAATACTAGTCGTCTAGTGTCTCTTTAGACTTTAGACTTTCCACCATTAGTGAGTCTCGAAAGATAGAAGGATGGGCTTAACAATGTAAACGCTACATTCATGCTTTTTTTTTTTTTTTTTTTTTGTCTAAATGTTTGTAATCATGCAGTGCAGTTTTAAAACAATAATTTTTGTTTTTTGTTTTAGAACTGGAACGTCGTGTAGCTGACCTATTGGGTAAAGAATCAGCCCTTTTTGTTCCATCGGGAACCATGGGGAATCTTTCTTCGGGTAAGTCTTTCAAATAATATGCAATTTTTAAAAGTAAACTAATCCTTTCATAAATCGCTAAGCAGAGAGTTAAACTGAGGAATGATAAAATCAAAAATAGATAAAACCGAAACAATGACGCTATATAAAATAAAATGAAATTAAGAAACTATCAGTTAGATCAAATAAAAGCGTCACAGTTCACATATAGTTTTCCTATTTTAGTTAAATAATAATATTGTGCATAAATCACTTTTACTAGTTTAAAAAATAGTAGTATTAAAAGATACTATCAATTCAGTTCTTAAAAGATTCTATCATCTGGTTAAAATTTGAGCTACAACAATTTTTCAACCTTAACTTCGAAATTCATTTTGCACCCAAGTTTTATATGAATATTTGGTACTCTTTCATAGAGTTTAAACATCCGTTTTACAAACATCCATTCCCTAAGCGTGAAGGTCATTCCATTAGGCCTAGTTAACTTCTGTTTTAGTTACCTTCCTGCTTTATTCTCATATTTTTAAAGGTTTAAAATAACGAAGTCATATTGTAAAATGAAACTAGAGATTGGATTTGGTATTTAATACCTGCCTTTTTTTTAGAGAAATGTTAATGTTATATTTTGGAATTTTAAGCTGTGTTGAAGAATTGATCAAAAGGATGATCTCTTTTCTTGAAGGTAATTAATTTCAGTACAAATGTTTTTGATTATCTAATGAATAGTTATTCTAAATTTCTAAAAATTTCTAAAAAGTTATTTAAAACTTTTTAGAAATGTTAGAATCCATGTGAATTAATTTCATTGCTTTAAATTTGAAATCTCTTCATTTGTCGTGAAGTTTAATATTTTTGTAATAAAAAATAGGCAAATCTTAATAGACAATTTATTTTTAATAACTTTAGTTTTATTTAGGACTAAATTAAAAAGGTAAATATTTCTTTTTTCTCAAAATTATTTATTGCTAAAATATGATCAATACATCAAAAAATATTTGTGAAGTAATTTTTATCAACTTGATTAAGAAATTTTTGGAAGTGAGATTCCTTTGTGAAAAGGTAGAGGTTGCATATATATGGGAAATAGGAAGATCCCATAGCAATTCCGTTTATTTGATGAAAAAATAAATCTCTGAACTGAATGTAGTTATTAAAAAGGGCTCAATTAAGGTGAATTTTCCAATTATCTTCCAACAAAACCGTAAGAATATATATATATAAGATATATAATAAGATATATACATTAAAGAAAATATATATATAAGACATATAATTAAAATATAAGAAAAAAAGACTTGTAAATAGCAACGTAAATTTCCCTTCTCAATTCTAAAAATAGTAACCTCTCTTTGCACTGCGTCATTTCGAGACTAATCTAAGTCATATAATTCTTATGTAATTCCAGTGATGTAAATGGAACAAAAACTCAGGCACCTTATAGTAATTCTACAGCAATATTAACTATCCAATCAAAATGCATTGAGAACCAAAAGTAACTCAGTCTGAATTAAGATTTCTCCCTGAACATAAGGCACTTGCTTCCTACGCTTAGCTGAACTCCAGCCTGTCTGCTCCTTCTTTCTTATTGCAAATTTACCTAAAATGTAAACTTTTTGGGATAGGCACATTTAATATGCCAACTTGCTTGCGGCCGCAACATGTTGCTGAAATAAAAAATTTGATGTGTACACCACATGACTTCCTTGTACAGAATATTAAATTATACGCATTTTTCTTGCATTTCGTTTAAACTTATCGGATTGAATTAAACCTACTTCGCCGACATCGCATAAACCACAGTAGAATAAATGCATTCCTTAAAATTCACTTTATTTGTTTACCATAGCGATACTCTGCCGCTAGGTCCACTTAACAGTATTATATTTCGTTCATATTATAACTATGTCTATGTCTTATCACTTAGTAAGAGGCAATCGGCCATTAACAGTCTTTACCAATATATTATACTTTTAAATGCTTGAGTAATCGAGAAAGTTGTATCCAATAATATGGAAGTACTTGTGCACATGCTGTGCTAGAACTCAGATATTACTAGCGACGGAGGCTCCTGCGCCGCCGTTCGTAGAATAAGTAAACTTTGAACAAATGAGACGTCGTGTGGCGCCATCTATTACTAGGGATGAAAAGTATTTTAGTTGACTGGTCATATTATAACTCAGAATGCACAAAATTTATATCATTTAAAGAATTATCTAATCTTTGCCACATGTTCTATTCAAATACTATAATAAAGCTAGAACGATGTATAAAAGAAATTAAGCAAACAAAACAAAAAAGAAACAGTTTTTCACAGACGGTTTAGTATTTCTCATTCAATTAATTCAGTTCTCACTTCGCGACGAGGCAAAAATACATAAAAACTCAAAATATCTGTATTAAAAATTAAAGTAAATCTTAAACACTTATTTCCTCGAAAAAATTCCAGAAAGGATTAAGCATGATTTAATTCGCAATAATAAACGAAGGCGTTATCTTTGTTGTTGCGAAGCTACGTTTCTCTAGATTGGCAACAAATCCACTACTCTGCTGTTTCAAATGTGAACAAGCAATGGCCGCCATCAAAAAAATTATTAGGCTTAGCGGCACTTGAACAACTTTAAAATTGTTGATAATTCTGAAAATATTGCATACAGATTTACTAAAGGCATAAAACCCTCAACCGGAAGATAAGAACAACATAATTCAATCATTTTTAAAGCAAAAAATGTACAATTTACAAACATATGAGAGTAAAGAAACTGAGATCACTGAGCCGGGTAACAGAGTGGATATATATATAAATATATTTATATACGTTTGGTGCGGCCGATTGCAACCAAAATACGAGGTGCACATGTACATGTTATAGCAGTCCTATATACAACATTTCAACTTTCTTGAGGCTACTCGTTTTTGAGTTATGCGAGATACTCACGTACGTACATACGTTCGTACAGACGCCACGAAAAATTCTCTTCAGAATTCATATTAAAGCAGTTTTATAATTTTTTTGGAAGAAAAGAGTCTTTTATTCTGTCCTTACGTACAGATATCAAGCAAATACATCGTTAAATTGCATTCGAAAGCGGTCAAAATGGATATTTTCGTTGAAATATGCTGCCTGAAACTTTTTGCGATTACAATACTTTCTTTTTACTTCGTTGAAGATTTAATCTGCCTTCGTGTCCAATTTTCTATTCATTATGGATCAAAACTTCTACGCTATCAAAATTTCTGCTGGTCATTCACTTCTAAGTTTGTTTTTATTATATATATATATATATATATATATTCCATTGATCATAAATTATGACGCATCTTCTTTTACAGTGATGGCGCACTGCTGGACTAGGGGCCAGGAAGTCATGGTGGGAGACCAGTCACATATTTTCGTATACGAGCAAGGCGGAATTTCGCAGGTACTTCAAGATTTTCTTTATTTTTTAAAATAGTTATGAACGCTTATCTATAGTTTTTTACATTGTTGTGAACAAAAACATAAAACACAATTACATATTAACTGTTACATAAAATTATTTGGTAAATTTTCACCATTAACTTAACTACTAGCAAACAGAAATTGCTTTAAATTTAAATGCGTTCTGCATCACTACATGTGAGGCTTAAAATATTACAATACAAATTTACAATTTATCTAGACCTGACGATGAACACACAAACAACAAAAACAAAGGAACAAAGTCTTCCTTCCAAAATTAAACTTCTTGAAAGTACAAATATTTAATCATTTCAAACAGAGGTTACAAGTTCACAGACAACTACTAACAGTTATTCATAATGTGAATTTACCAACCAAATCTACTTTGAAGTTTTACGCGAGGCAGCAGTTATTCGCGAAGTGACAAGCTGGACGACAGACAGCCGCCGTTAGTCCAAAGCTCTCACATGCGATAACGATCTACTCCTCTAACTTTATGCTGAACTGTTTCCCACTCAAATTTGCATAAAATTTTAGAATGAAAGAACCCGTGAGAAAATGAAGCAATAGGAAAGTTAAAAACAAAAATTATATTTGGTTAGCGAAACTCAAATATCACGATTAGCTTGCATCACATCTCAACCGTATCAGAGTTTCACTCCCGTTATTCCTGCTACTATTTGTGGTTTTCCCCATGTGTAACGTGTATACGAGCCAGTTTCCCTTAGAACGTCCTCCACGAAGGCATCCCTTCCCTTATGCAGATAGCCCTAGTGTGCTTTGCCATAATTAAATACACCAACATACACCAAATCATGCTGCTATTCGGCCCGTTGCATTGCCATCCCTCCCGCTGTTCAGCAACCGAACGGTAACATGTTTTCCAGACCTGGACTTAAAATATTGAGAGTGCATCTATAAATGCTTTTAATCTTTTTATGAAGAATGCAGACCGTTGATTTTTATGAAATCCCATTAAAAATAATTAAGTTGAGGCTTAATTAAATTATTTGTTGTACCATTCATAGCAAAAACATCTACGGCTTCGCTACCTGAGATGCTATAAAAAAAAAGAAATCCAGTAAACATTACTTACTTTTGACAGTAGTTAGGGGTAGAATGTAATAAGTTTTTCTTTATTATCTGCAATTTATTTGCAAAGCAGCAGAGAGAGCTATCGGATAATATCATGGCACAGGAAATTGAGTCGAACTTTTTTTCATGGGATAAAATGCTGTAATTTTAAATAAGAAAATAATTACGCATGCTTGATATTCCTTTAGTAGCAAATGTGATAAAAATTTAAGAGAGGAAATTTTGGAATTATTTGTAAATAGCAGGAAATCTCAATGAAGAAATTTTAAAAAGGCTAATTTAAGTTTATATTAGCTATGCCGCTGAAGTGTCTGAGAGTTTGTAATGACAGAAGAACCAGATCGAAAATTCGTTTTCTTTGTTACGAGCATTGGGAATAATTTTTAAAAAATTGCAAGCAAATTCTAATCATATTAAAATAAAATTGCAAGCAAATTCTAATCATATTAAAATACGAGTATAAATATAATAAAGTTCGTAGGGTAGAAGGGCCCACCAGCGGCCGAGCGGTAAAGTCGCTGAATACTGGTAGTTAGGTCCGAGGTTCGAATCCCGCGAACGGGCTGGCTGCATGGGTGTTTTCGTGGTTTCCCCATGTGTAACGTGTATACGAGCCAGTTTCCCTTAGAAAGTCCTCCACGAAGGCATCCCTCCCCCCTAGGCAGATAGCCCTCGAGGCTTTGCCATAATCACACACACACGTAGGGTAGAAGTTCTAATGAAATACAGTTCCTCTGCATTTCTTTCTTTCTGCTGGACTTTAAAAAGACTTCTCATTTTGTAAAGTAATTTCAATAGTTATTTGTTTTTTCAACAGCAGGGAAGAGTTACTGTTAGTGCAATAACTGTTCTGAAGAACTACTTTGGTGATTCTTACGACGTGCTCTATTAGCGGATATTGTTAAAAATCATGTAAACTATTAAAAAGCAAGTATATGCGTTTAGACTACTATATCAGATCAACAAGAAAAACTTTTAATTTAAAAGAAAATATCATACGCCATGTTGAATCGTAACAGCTCTGAAAACTGGTTGTTTGAGGCCGCATGGATGAAAAGTTAGAGAACTTTACGCTTTGTAAAATAACAACGCTACCCATATCAGCTAACACAATATACACTCTTAGACAAAAAAAAGGGACGCACCACGACGCGCCGAGAAGATATAAAGACAATTGGACACAAATTGATATGCATACAGGTTTCGACGCAAAATGCAAAATTTTACATTTTGGCTGCCAATAAACGAACGGTTGTCGCTACAGCGCATCTGATCTGTTTAACTGGCAGGATATTTAAGCGGAGAAATTACGATTCCAGGTCATAAATTCTTCACGAATAACTTTGCCTCCATACAGGTGCGGGAACGATATGCGCAGATGTCAGAACTTGAGAGAGGTCGTGTAGTTGGGCTCAAAGAAGCCGGTTGGTCTTATCGGCGAATACCTCTACATTTGAGCAGGAGCGATGCCGCTATTAGACGATGTTGGCAGGAATGGGTGAACCATGGGTGCACACAGCGTCAAGAAGGAAGAGGTAGGCCTAGAAAAACGACAGAACGTGAAGACCGAGCTATCGTCAGAGTGGCACGCACAGCCTCAGATGCATCATTATCACCGATTGTACGTGCAACTAGTGCTTCAGTGACCGCAAGGACCATTCATAGACGGCTCACAGAAAGGAGGCTGAGGTCACGGCGCCCCTTGCGCCGACTAACATTGACCTCTGTACAACGTCAAGCCCGTTTTCAGTGGTGTCGGGGTCATTCGCAATGGAATGTCACTGACTGAAGTGTTCAGTGATAAGTCCTTCTTTGAACTGAGCCCCGATGACCAGCGAAGGCGAGTCTGGAGACTTCCCGGACAGCGGTGTGATATCAACCTGACTTCTTCAGACAGGCCGACAACCAGGCGTTATGGTCTGGTTGTCGTGATGGTGTCATTTCATTTCATAGTAGGACCCCTTTGGTTGTCATCCGTCGCAACCTTACAGTATAGCGGTACGTCGATGAAGTTTTAAGGCCCGTTGTGTTGCCCTTCATGTCGCGCCACCCTGGACTTACATTTCAGCAAGATAATGCCCGCCCCCGCATTGCACATGTTTCGACTGCTTGCCTTAGAGCTTGCCGAACATTACCTTGGCCAGCAAGGTCGCTTGATCTCTCTCCTATTGAGCACGTTTGGAGCATTATGGGCAAGGCCCTTCAACCAGCTCGGGATGTTGACGATCTAACGCGCCAGTTGGACAGAATTTGGCACGATATCCCTCAGGAGGACATCCGCAACCTCTATCAATCGATGCCAAGCCGACTAACTGCTTTTATAAGGGCCAGAGTTGGAAAAACGCGTTACTGACTTTTTCACTTTGTGAAGCTCTATCACTTCAATAAATCATCCAATTTTTCTCAAACTGTAATCATTTGTTTTTCTGTGCATATACATCAATTCTACCGATTTTCGTCCCATTCGGAAAACTCCTTCTCGGTGCGTCCTTTTTTTTTTTTTTTTTTTTTTCGTCTAAGAGTGTAATAAAATAGGAAAATAGAAAAACTAAGATAAAGATATCATTAACATCAAAATGTCATGATGATTCAATAAGATTTTTAAAAAACCTTCTTCTTTAGACATCCTTTTTATAGAAATATGTTTTTCCAACAGCTAGGAGGAGTTCACGTTAGCACTTTAACTACACGTGAAGATGGAACGTTTGATTTGGAACAAGTGGTAAACAAAATACGATCCCCAGACCCATCTTGCCACGAGCCTCAGACTGCTCTCATATGTCTAGAAAACTCTCACAACAGATGTGGAGGAAGGGTACTGCCTCTTTTATTCATTCAGAAGGTGAATATATTACTTCAAATTAAGTAAAGTATTATTATTCTTATCTCTATAGATAGGAATATTTTAATATTTGTACCTAAAGAGATAAGCATGTGGTATAGAGATAATTGCGGCAATAATACAGTTGTGCTAAAAAAATAAGCAACAAACGTTAAAAGGAAAGGTACAAATGTACAAAGAGGAATTAAAACATACAATTTATATGAAAGGTAGAGGTTTCATCGCCGAATGCAAACAAGTAACCAAAATCAACATAAAACGCAATCCCGCCACAACGCCTTAAAAAGAGGCATGCCGGACCATTTGATCTGCTTGCGCATTGACACAATGAGCAAGCAACAATAGTTCCGTGTAATCCTAGATAACCAAATCGGGTAGCATGAGCCGAAGACACCATTTCCACAATGAAATGCACTAGAGGGCTGTTGGATGTTGCAAGCTGGAGCTAGACAATCCACTCTTGAGAGAGAGCTGAATGTGCATCATAGTATCATCATCAGATCTGTGGTATTGTTTCTAAACTGGATCAAAACAACTATCGCTTCGTGTTGCTATGTGCCAGTCGCCGCAGATCACTAAAAACGACAGCTAACGTCACATTTCTTGCTGCTGCAGGACGGCCTATATCCCATTAAACTGTGTCGCGTTGACTGCATGAAGATGGACTGTACGCCCAACGATCTGTGGTTTGTGTTCCTTTGTCCCTATCATATGTCAGACGCGTTTGAATTGAGCCCGTAAACATCGCAGTTGGACACCAGAGCAGTGAGGCCACGTATTCTATGGATGTGTCTCGATTTAACATCCAGAATGATTCCTGAATGGCAATGATATGGCGAGACCCAGTGACACACTATCGGGCGCCAAACATCGTTGAAAGAGACCATTACAGAGAAGGAGGCTAACTTGTATGGGCTAGGATAGCAACGAACGGCCGCATCGACCTCTACGTGATTTCTGCTGGTTCCTCACAGCCGTTAGATATCGTAACCAAATTCTACACTCTATTGTGCGTCCTTTTGTCACTGCAATGGGCACCAACTGATATTTATGGATGATAACGCCGGCCCGCTTACAGCACGAGTGTTACTGAGTTATCTGGAGATTGAAACCATTCTACATCTGGCGTGGCCGACTAGATAATCAGACCTAAATCCCACAGGGCATGCGTGGGGCATGTTAGGAAGACGCATAGCAGGTCGCAGTCTTCCGCCAGGCACCCTGCACAAGTTCCGATATGCGTTAGTACAGGAATGGGCCTTACTGCCTCACAAGAGATCAATGACACTTTTACCAGCTTGCCTCGCCGTAGTCAAGCATGCATTTCAGCCAAAGGGTATCATACCCGTTATTGGCGTGATGTTTCCGTTGCACATTCTTCTCAGATCCATTTGACTTTTACTATGTGATGGTAGTAATACATGTGTTTTTGTATGCCTTTGCTTTATTGTTTGCTATGTGGTCTAGTAATGGCCTGCCAACCTCTTGGATCAATTTTACGGATATCCATTAAATGGTTCTTGTTTTATTCCGTGTTTTGCCTTACTTACTACTTATTTTTTGAGAGGAAGTGTATTTTCTTAAAAGAGATGTAATAATGATCTTTACTTATTGTTTATTTGCCATTTTCTGAAAATATGTAGCTATTTCTTTACTACAAGAAAGAAGTGAAAAGAAGTGATAGATGCAACTGAAACTTGGAAATATTATTTCCAAAATTGTATACTAGTTGTAAAACAGGAAAAGCTTAATTGATAGCCAAGTGAAATTGCGTCAATGTACAAGTACTCCACTATATTAAATTTGTTTTAAATCCTTATTATGTACAATATTACTTGATTGATTATAAAGTTTAATTGCTCTGAAGTAAAAATAAATGAAAAAAAAAAAGATATGAAAGTAAAAATTATCCTTCTTTCCATCTTGCGTTCACAAATCATTATGGGAATATCCATTTACAGTTATTAAAACCTGAAAAAAGCATGTCTGCGATGTTATCGTCATGCGATGATTTGTAGATACTTTATTTTTTACCACGATATTTTCGACGAAGATGTTTTTAACCTGCGAAGTTTTTGAACCGCTTTATTTTCGACGACGATGTTTTCTACCCCGATGTTTTAGAACTGCGATGTTTTCTCTTTGCGATGTTTTCTCCCACGATGTTTTGTAGCACGACGTTTTCGCCTTGCATTGTTTTCTCCGCGACGTTTTCGTCCGCGATGTTATCGGCGGACACCGTCTGGGCGGCGCTTTTCTTTCATACTTGTTTCCAAAACTGTTTCTTTCTCTTTCAGTACATTTTCCCAAGCATTACACTGCTTTTCAAATATCTGTACATGATTGTTCTTTAGAAATATTCTTTAGGACTTTATCCGCAGGCTTTATCCGCAGGCCTGCAGCGACTCTCGTGGGCTCGTGAGCATATCGGTTGGTCCCTAAACGAATGGAAAATCGTGGCGTGGTCAGATAAGTCACGATTTCAGTTGGTAAGAGCTGATGGGAGGGTTCGAGTGTGGCACAGACCCCACGAAGGCATGGACCCAAGTTGTCAACAAGGCACTGTTCAAGCTGGTGGTGGTTCCATAATGGTCTGGGCTGTTTTTACATGGCATGGACTCGGTCCTCTGATGCAATTAAACCGATCATTGACTGGAAATGGATACCTTCAGCTACTTGGAGATCACTTACAGCCATTCATGGACTTCACGTACTCAAACAACGATGGGATTTTTATGGATGACAATGCGCCATGTCACCGGGTCACAATTGTTCGCGATTGGTTAGAAGAACATTCTGGACAATTCCAGCTAATGATCTGGCCACCTAGATCGCCCGACATGAATCCCATCGAACATTTATGGGACATCATCGAGAGGTCAGTTCGTGCCCAAAACCCTGCACCGTCAACACTTTCACAATTATGGACGTCTATAGAGGCAGCATGGCTCATTATTCCTGCAGGGGACTTCCACCACTTGTTGAGTCCATGCCACGTCGAGTTGCTGCACTTCGCCGGACAAAAGGAGGACCGACAAAATATTAGGAGGTATCCCATGACTTTTGTCACTTCAGTGTATGATTCAGTTTCGTTTAACAAATAAATTTACCTCTCAGTTTCATGTTTCTCGTGCGGAAGTACTGAATTTATTTTATTTATATATATTTACAATTCCGGTTACGCTTACTCGTTTTTAACATAAAACATAAAAATGCTATATTTTGTACGAAACATGTAGCATTTTCGTGACATAATGACCAAAAATAATTGGAAGCAGGCAATGTAAAAGAAATATACATAGCAGTAATATATTATTTATTTACTTATTTGTCCAACTTCATTGATTTACTCATTCTACATTTCCTGTAGAAAATAGCCTAGAATATTTAGGGAATCTTATTACTAGATTGAACTCTTTATTTTTTACTTTGCTGGATAATCTTCATAAATTCTTATGCAAATTGAATTTTTTATGTTATGAAAGCAGTGGATATATTTTGTCATCATTTCAGAAAAAAAAATGCATTGTAATTTGTATACTTTTACTAAATTGTAAGTATTAATATCTCCTGAAATTCAGGTTGGTGAATCAGAATTCAAAGACTAATTTTAATTTAAAGCCTATATTAAGTGACCCTTTTGTCGCTGAACCAATACACCTTGTATCAGATTCTAGATTTCTGTCAATTGTCTTTATATTTCAGTCGATAATAAAGCACGAACTTCCAATAGAATAACACGCTTTCAAAGGAATGCCATTTTTTAATATATTGTGAAAACTAGCTGATCACTACAGCGCGTGATTTAATTTTATCCACAATAAAATTCTTGTTTCGGACACTTATTTTTATTTAAACCTAGTTTTATTAAACTAGTTTTCAAACTATTACAGACTGTAAAACGAAAGCGTATTGCATTGCGCAAAAAAGGGAATTTTAAGACTCATAATTGCTAAAACAAACGCCTTAATCCATAGATATTACTAGCATGTTTCCCAAAGAAGTCGAATTTGAGATATCTCATCGAAAGATAAATTCCCGATAGTTTCATATTCTCCATTTCCTATTGTAATGCAAAGACGAAATGTATTCTTATTATAGTTTTCTTATTAATGTTTTATAAATAAATAAAAATATTAATTTTGGGCAATATTTGATATTAATATTTTAATAATATTAAAATTAATATATGATATATTAAACAATAAAATGTATCTTTTTGGACACAGTATTATGTTTTCACGACTAATTCAGAAATTTTGTCAGGAATGAAAAGTTAGTTAATATTTCGAAACTTTTGGAATATCGGCCATATTTAACTTGCGAATCTCTTCTAGATCTGCGCTTTAGCTCACAACCGTGGAATAAAAGTTCACATGGATGGTGCAAGAATCGTAAATGCTTCAGTACAGTCCGGGATACCTGTAAATGAAATTGTCAAAGAATGTGATTCTGTTTCTATATGCCTGTCCAAAGTGAGTAACGCAAAATATTTTTGTTGCCTTTTGATATTAAATGAGTTGTTTAAAACAATAATATTTTCCAAATATTTTAACCTTTAAAAGGAACGCGCATGCTCCTTTTTTAATACTTTCAGAGCAAATTAATATAGGCTAAGATTATATGCAATGCGCTTAGAAATATAATAGGAATTTATAAATATTTCTTACAATAGAAAAAATATTTCGTATGTTTCTTTCTCATGCAAAAAAACTTTAATAGAATGGAATTTATTACATATTGTTTGTGCATAAAATATTATGAAAGCAATAATTTTAATAATATATTATTAACAGAGACAATCAATTGATATCTCCAATAAGAAAGGAAATCTAGAATTTTGTACAGCCCTGGTTATTAAAATTACAATACCAGGAACAAAAGCAAATAAAAGAATCTTATTTATTATACAAATGTAATATAATGGAATAAAGCCATGGTTGAATTTGCAGGTGGTTTAATGTATCACAAATACTTGGAGTGCAGAATTCAGAATACTGAGCGGCTACCTCTGGCAGCAACAATGGTTGTAATCTGGCTGGACATTGTATCGAACCGAGCTTGGATGACGGATACGGATACTTCACTCCGTGTGATTTCAACTATTTTGACGAACGAAACCTATTTATGCCAGAGTTCATCGATTGAAGGTGGTGGCGGATGGTAGCGTGCCAGTCTGGGAGCAACCCACTATCAGATATCCTAACTGGATGAGAGATCTGGAGAACGTTCTGGGCAAGGCAACAGAAAAATACCTTCTATGTCGAAGGAGGTCAGGATAGTGCAGGCAATATGCTGTCGTGCGTTATCCTGTCGAAATATGGCGTTGAGCAGCCTTCTCAGATAGATTACTTTTACGAACCTTAACATGTCAGAAATGTAACTGCGGCTCCCCACATTACCGGCTGTGCAAACAAGAGGTGACCGGAATGTGTAGCCAATGGCACCCCATACGACATGCCTTGTGCTGAACCCGTATGACGGTGATAAATTAAAACTGGTAATATTCATTTTCTCGGTGCCTCCGCACACGAATATGTCCAACTTGGTGCTGCATTTAGAATCGGAATTTATCACTCCTTTGTCCAGTTCGTCTTTCAGAGCATTACTATACGCGCGCCTGTCTCAGCTGCAGCGTAGAAGGAAGCCGTAGCAATGGTCACCATGCTGACAATCCGGGGTATTGCACACGTCGTCGCATTGTCCGCTAATGAACTTGGCTAATGAACATTGCCCTGTTCATTAGCCAAGTTCCTGACTCAGAGCACATGACGTGACTGTACGACCACGCAGGGCAGTAACATTATTATCTCCTCGAGAATTAGTGGCCCAGGATTTCTAAAAACCTGCATGGCATTCAATATGTCTCTTCTGTACCCTTAGATTCCATAACGTCTGACAGTACTAGGGACCAACCAATCATCCCGACCAGTATGAGCAACCAATGGGACAGCTGTTCCGTCGATAGCGAAACGAAAGAAAGAAAAGTCACGGAATGATAAACCACAATCCTTATAGATGATAAACGTGTTATAACCTGAACCACAAAATCTCGCGAAGCGTTTCAAAATGCAAAAATGATTTAATTTAATAAAACAAATTTGCAGTATCCTTCAGCATCTAAACCATTATCACTCTATGTTGACGCATCAACAACAGGTAGGAGCAGTTTTACAACAGGAAAGATTAAGAATTATGGAGACCACTTTCATATTTTTCTAAAAATCTCTCACCAACACAAACCAGATACCTCACTTACGATCTCGAATTATTAGGAATTTATGAAGCTGTCAAATATTTCGACATATGCTAGAGGGACGCGTTTTCATGATCTTCACAGATCACAAACCCTTAACCTATGCTTTTCAACTGCGTTCGGATAAAGCTTCTACTCGTCAAATGAGATACCTAGACTTCATTGGGCAATTTTCAACAGATATCCGTTACATTGAGGGTTCGCAGAATATTGTTGTAGACACCTTGTCTTGTATTGAAGAACTAGTTTATTGGCGCAGGAACTAGCCGTCCCTTCGCCAATAAACTTTGCTGCCCTTGCGGATGAACAACACTGGGATTCAGAAACTACAAACCTTCTTGAAAAGCAAATCTTCCAGCAATCTCAACTGGTCACTAAAAAAATTGTGAGCTGTCGCCTCACAATAAATCACTTTATTGTGATGTTCAGGATTCAAGATTTCGACCTTATGTTCCCTCCGGGTTTCGCTATGCCATTTTTAGTCAGTTACATCGCCTATCACATTCTGGCATCAAGGCTTCGAGGAAACTGATACAGCAACGTTTCGTATGGTCTAGCATGCAAAACGATATAGCCAACTGAACACGTTCGTGCTTGAAGTGCGAAAGATCTAAAATTGTCAGACACACCACCAGCCAACTTAAAAATTTTAATTTGCCCTTATCTCGCTTAAATCACGTGCACCTCGAATTGGTTGGGCCATTCCCGCCTTCTAATGTATTTCTTATATTTTTACTTGCATTGATCGATTTACTCCCTGGCCCGAAGCCGTTCCTTTGGTAGATATTTCAGCTGATACGGTACGGTGACAAAGGCATTTTACACCGTTTGGGTTTCTCGATTTGGAGTTCCGGAGCACATTTCTACTGACCAGGGGCGTCAGTTCGAGTCCGAAATCTTCACGTCACTAACTAAGTATTTGGGCACTTACAAAGTGAGAACCAGCCCCTACCATCCGAGTTCCAATGGAACTGTCGAGAGATTTCATCGCTCCTTAAAACAATCAATTCGATGCCACACTGCATTACAGTGGACTGATGTGTTACCTACTGTACTTCTAGGTCTTCGATCAGCGTTAAAAGAGGATCTGAATGCCTCTTCTGCCGAACTGGTATATGGTACTAATCTTCGTTTGCCTGGGAATATCGTACATTCAGTCAATCCATCTACCTGCAACGTAGATACTGTTACATTCGTGCATCAGCTTAGAAACTGCATGTCAAAATTGCGACCAGTTCCTGCCAGCGCTCATTGCAAACAAACTGTGTTCATGCATAAAAGAACTTAGAAACTTATCTCATGTTTTTCTCAGATGTGATGCTTCAAAGCCTTCTCTCGCACTACAATTTTCAAGGCCACATCAAGTGCTAGCTTTTGAAAAATGTAGGACAACGAAAAAGAAGTCATCTTTAGTATCGACCGTCTTAAGCCGGCATTTATCTGGACACCAGAAGCCACTGGAGCGAATGCGTCTTCACCATTGCAAATTGCATCTCAAGATCCACATCTATTTACAACAGACTTCAGTACAAGCTGTTCCAAGCCTTCGACAGAAACCAAGACTTACGACTTATCAGATGCTACGACAAGAACACGCTCGGGTCGTCGAGTTCGCATCAACCCAAAATATTTGTAAGGTATCGTTAGCACTAGAGGGTGAGTACTGTGATGACCTGCCTACTACAACTCAACGCTGCTAGTCTGGTAACTCATAGCAACGAAAAACAAAATAATGTTTATTTTATTGTTAATATAAATTCAAAGATTGATATGATTAACGATCTGTTTTTATTATCACAGTTGCTTTTCCAGATACGTTTTATTTATTATTGTTCAAAACGGCTAATACAAATTAAATTATTATATTAAAAGCAGCGTGTAATTATCTGTCTCAAAAATTTGTACCACCATACTTATATAATTTACTTGTAAATAATAATACTTGTCTAATCCAAGTCAACTGAACTCTGTCAATTGACTCGTATAATTTACTTGTCTAATCCAAGTCAATGGAACTAAGCAGTTATAAGACTTGCTTTAACTTTTCTCAGTAAGTGTTTTCAAATAGCTTTGCCTTTGAAGCTGCTGACTCCTATGCTGTATTTTGAATAGAATTGTCCCTTTTTTAAGTATCATCGATGACACCAATGATGAAATAAAACAATTAACCTTTTTTAAAGTACACTTTATATAACGTTCTATACATAATTTTAAACATTAACAAAATCTCAAATTTTTAAAAGTTTGCTGAAGTAGAATTATTTATCTTAGGTATTAATCAAGTCTTTTGAAAATGCAATAACATGTAAAGAATGGTTAGCTTAAATAAGCATTTTATATTAATTTAGAAAAATGTTTTGTTGTTGTTCTTGGTGGCAGTGTCCTTAGCTTTTACTATTTAAGTCGATTTAAAACAGATTAAAAATTATCGTATTTTTTTATAAAATATTTTCCTAATAATAGTAAATTTACATAGGGAATTGGAGCGCCTGTAGGTTCCATTGTTGCTGGATCTTCAGAATTTATTAGCAGGTAAGCTAATACTCTGCTTTATTTATACATAGTCGCTTCCTAAAATAACTAACACCAGTTTCATTCAGTTTTCTTAATAATGCAGTAATTTATCATAGATAAATAGAAAAATTCCTAATGCTATGAAAAAAGAATCAAATGATTTTACAAATATTACGAAAGCTGGTAAAACACGTTGTGTATCGTGTTTACTTTGCTTAATCCTCTAATTTCAAAATTGTCTTGCACATTTTTTCTAACTCATAGCGTATAATTAACAAATATTAGATGCGATCATAATTTTGGGAAGTCGTATACATACCGTAAGTGGATGATAGGACCCAGGCTGGAACAACTCCAGCTCGGATGGGATATGGTTGAATATAATTGTCTCCCTATTTTAGTGAGAAAGTTCTACTTTTTAGGAAGAATTTCAAGATGAGGATGAACTCACAAAGGAATTTAAGCTGAATCAGCTTGAAAAGCTAACCAGTATGCCAGACGTGGTTGAAGGCTTTGCCCATGTCCAGCATGAGTATTGAGAGGTTCAGTTTTTCAGAGAATAGCTCCAATGAATTTTGAAATTTATATGAGCTGATGAAAAGTTCCCTTCCTAAAGCCCTGCTGTTGCTCTGAGATGACAAGATGACAATGTAGTCTGGCATAAATTATGCTTTAACGAATTTTTTTCAATGCAGAGAGGAAACTGATAGGGCGATAGCTTGATGGTCCTTCAGTAGTTTTTTTTTTTTTTTTTTTTTTTTTTTTTTTTTGACTAAGAAAATATTTTAGATCAGATTTCTCTCCAGATCAGTGGAAACTGAGCTTTTACTATACAAATTTTCAAAATCTTGTAAGCTTGCATATTACATTGCTTGTAAGCTTGTAAGCTTGCATATTACATTGCTTGTAAGCTTGTAAGCTTGCATATTACATTGCGAGGCAGGTTCTTTAGTAACCTGATCGAAATGTGCTCACATTCTAGGGCTTTTTCTGGTCCTGAAATGTTTTATTAGTTCAGTGAATGCCTCGGGGCTAGTTAATTTGATAATATTAACTAGGAGCTGGAGCAGTATGCTATTCCCGAATTGCGTTTTCAAAGCAGAAGATAGTGTCCTTATCCACAGGAGAATAATTCGGAGAAAACTGCTGGGTCAGGTGACTTGCGAATGTCTCTGCCTTTTCCTGATTGGTGTATGCACATACGTCTAGTTTTCTGATTAGAGGAGACTTGATCTGTGTGTTTTTCTGATCAACCTTCAAATTTAGGTTGCCAACTTTAGCACACCAGTTTTCAATATGATGCAATATAAAAGATTTTTTAGAGATTACAAAAGACCTTTTTCTAATTGTAGAGAGCCTGTTAATCTTAATTTTAGTAACTCGATTGCATTTCTATTAAATTATTTACGCAGACTGTTTCGCTTAGTAATAAAATTCCTGATATGCAAGGGAAGCTATTCATGCATGTAGTACCTGTTGTTTGGAGTAACGGCTTTTCAAAGAAAGCTGAACATTGATGGTGAATATTCCGGATGCGTTAAGATGTATTTTTTGAACGAAGAGTTTCAATACGAAACTCGAGGTAATTGCAATATTGCGAAGTAGTTCTAGTCTACCGTGTGTTTGGGGAAGACATCTTTGGCTTGTTCATACCAAATCTAGGTATTAGAGGCATTTGGTCCGAGGAAATATCTCTCAACTCTTCCAACGAGATTGGGATATTATCTAGAGAGAAAAGTTCTAATATCTCTGGTCTTCTGTTTATAATATTTGGCCGGTTATGTAGTATCTTCTAGAACAAATAAGGAAATTGGGTTGTAGAACTAAGCTCCTGAAGTAGGATTTCTTGGTTTGGAAAAGTAAGAACCAACCCTAAAACTGGCGTGTGAGAAAGTCCACAGTTGGCACAAGTGGGAGGTTCTAATTTTGGTTTGGTACAATCCGTTAATTCATCGTCTTGTGCACATTGTACATACTTGGTGAAAGAGAGCACTGCGCTTGCGCTTGACGAAACTTCTGGAAGAGGTAAAAGATCCTGAGACCGCGTTTTCCTTTGTATTTATTTATGCTTATGCAAAGGCTCATAAGTTATTCCAGATTGCAAATAAGTTTGGCTTAATCAATCCTGGGTAAAGTGAACAGAAAAAGAGGCATATTCGGGATATCTGGGCTTCGGCCGTATGTTGAACTACACTTTTAACAGGAAATCCTAGAGCCGTCAGAGCCTATCTTACGTCCATAGCACAGGTGAATGTTGGAATACTCCTAAGTAGTACTTAAGAAGCTTCTCATCCGGTAGCATATAGAAGCAGTACTAAATATCTCTGTTAATCAAAGAAGTGATATTTCTATGAACATAGCAGAAGAAAAGTTTAACCTCAAATTCTTAAAAAGCAAGCTTTTTTGTTTTAAAGTCCTCGAGTCTTCCAGTAGCTTGTTTAGTTCCTTTAAAGTCAAAGATTGATCTAGTATAAGGATGGATTAGATTTTCCAGTGTCGTCTTAGATATTGCATTTGCCCACCAGCGGCCGAGCGGTAAAGTCGCTGAACACTGGTAGTTCGGTTTGAGGTTCGAATCCCGCTAACGGGCTGGCTGCGTGGGTGTTTTCGTGGTTTTCCCCCATGTGTAACGTGTATACAAGCCAGTTTCTCTTAGAAAGTCCTCCAGAAGGCATCCGTTCCCTTAGGCAGATAGCCCTAGTGTGCTTTGCCATAATTAAATACACCACACCACCTTAGATATGGCAAGTCGTGTGTTGCCCATCCTCTGGAATTTCGTCATGTCTGGTTTCTGACCGGTTGTCTGGTTTCGTGATTCGTTTCTACACAGGATTCTACACCATCATGTCCTGGTTGTTGGATTACTCCTCTCCTCTGTACGTCTCAAGTTGAACACGTTAGGATTCTTCTGTGAATGGGGCTGTTGGCGCTGAGAATGCTTAGTTGTCTTGACATATGGATTTTGGAACTTTCTTAAGAGTAATTAAGAAAAGTTTACCATTGACTTCCGTCTGCAGAGGCTCCAGGTTCTCGTTGTCGATATCAAGAATGGCCAACTTATTGTAGGTATCTAGTGTGCATCTGTGCGGTCTTTTCCCATGTGCGGCACCTGAAGTGGCACCAGTCTTTTCCTTATAGCTGGAAGCAGAAGAGGTCGTTGTCGAAGAAATTCACCTTTTTTGATTTTAGCAAGAAAGGTGAACCTTCTTCGCTTTTATCAGGAGGCCTCGCATTACTGTGAGAAAATTTTTTCCGTCTCGTGGCTAAACAGTTTAGGACAGGGATGGGCAAACGTTTTCGGTCGTTTCAGAGATCAGAATCAGAAGTCAGAGATTTCCACAGAATTTTGTGCAGCGGCGATTCGTAGCATACACACAATTTTAAGGCGAAGCCATTACACACCGCTCAATGTCATTGGTCCATCACTATCATAATGGAATGTCTTTCTGCTGTAAAGGAAGCTTTGGGGACTTGGAGTTTTCCAGATGTGACTGATGATCAGTGTTCAAGGCAGATTTTAAACTTAGCTCTGAAATACCCGTCAGCCCACTAATCCTATTAATTTTCTCTTAGGCCTGATATTATTTATTCACCAGTTCAGACGGGTGGTTCTTTGGCAAGCAAACAGCGAAACGCAGGGTATTGGACTTTCTGAACTAAACCTAATTTAATTGCGAATTCTGTAAACTGTTTACTTAAACACTGATATTCCAGAAAGAGAAAGACTTGCCTTTCTGTCAACTCAGTATTGCAGATCGTAGTTAAAGCTAAGTAACAGCCTCTTGCTTCTGCTCCTGTTCGGCCTTGTTCTGGCTTGTTCTACGTTGTTTCAGTTTTTTAAATTTTTTTTCATAAGTGGGACGGTTATCCTACGTCTTAGTTTAAGGTTATCCTGCATCGAATCTGCTAAATATTCTCGATAACAAGAGGAACATCATTCCGCACTTAAGATCAATATAACATGTAAAGATAGTCACGTTTAGAGTTCAATTACTAATCTCCGTTGAAAGTTAGCACTTATAAGACAATTTATGTATATTTTCCCTTAAAAATTAACTAAGAGTAAGCGATTACCTATCATCTAATAGCTTATTCAAGAAATGATTTAATTTACTCATTCCAGTATGAGCTAAGATATTTTGACTGAATATTTAAAATTAAAACTTATCTTCAAGTCTTTCTCTAAATGAATTCAGGTTACATTGTGATCTATCACACAAAGAATAAAACGTCGTGTGTTTGGTTTAATTACTTCTGCTGCTAGAGCCAAGAATACATTCTTTCATCAGCCACCAAGAATAAATAAATATATTCTAATATTAATATAATACAGAAATTTATACAGAAAGTTGTCATAAGAGGCTGCTGTATTCTCTTGAACATGTAAAATATTTAAAATTAATTTAATTTTTCTTTATTTTAATAGAGTGATGAGATGCCGTAAAGTACTGGGCGGTGGAATGCGCCAGGCTGGGGTCCTCGCTGCAGCAGGTTTAGTGGCATTAGCTACAGCAAGAGAAAGAATACAAAAGGATCACTTAAGAGCTCAGAAATTAGCTCAAGGTAATAAATATCAGTTGCATGAGGTATTTTATTCTTATTTTTTACGACAGTTATTTTGGTTAGGGGTTCAAAAAAATGGCTCATCGCTTTTTATATAAATTCATTCATAATAAATATGGCTAAATTTGAAATAACAGCTTTCTTTATTGTAGAAATACTTTTCATTGACCTTTTAATGGAACCATTATTATACCTATAAGTTTTAAATAAATCAAACACAACACTTTCAATTATTTCCTGAAATATTTTTAGGCCTTAAAATCATTTGAAGATGTTTCAGACCTTTCATTTTATATTTGTTTAATTCTCTTTACAGTATCCCAACAGAAAACATTTCAATACGTAGCATCATATGAAGATGCAAATTACTTTAATGAAAACGTTAATTTTAAGTGAAGCTATTTTACAGTGGCCTGAGACATACGGAAGGGGAAACTTGATAGAACAGCTGCTACCTGGATAAAATCTCTGAGTTTCTTTTGCTCTATCAAACAGTAACTTATTTTGATGGTCTTAGCCATAAGCTCTTCCTTTAGCCTTGATAAGAAAATAGAATGGTTTAATTACATTAAAATTTAAAATCAAGCCATAAGGTGATGTCAGTAGGCAAGGTGCACTTTCAAAACTGCTGCCTATTCTCTTCTCCCCCCCCACACAGACACACGTGATTCCGATTTAACAGTATTTTTCTGTATTTGGCATCCTGAGATAAGTGAAATAGTGTGTTATCAGAAGGGAGGGATCCAAATTCCTTTTAGTGGAATATCGGATAATATTCGATAATAAGTTCCTTTTTTTTAGTGATTACTATTGTCAGCTGTTGGCAAATTGGTTTATTATGTTTGTTCATTCCCAGCCGTTCTCCGTGTCAGTGACTGACTAGCATAAAATTGTTTGTGGTTGCTCTTTTAAGCCATAGTATTTTGATTATGAAAGTTCGATTGAATTATCCTTTTTTTTATTTTTAGTCTAGTTTTAGTGAATATTCACCACATTTTGCTTTTGTTTTTCAAGTTACAGATGATTTTTTTAATCTTTTTATCTGTGACTTTGATAAATAAATCATACAAACATTTCTCCTTCAGATTTCTAAAATTTTTATTCAAAGAACTGTTTAGAAATCCTTGCTTCAAAAGTAGTACAATTTTTTATTTAAATACATAGCACTACTTTCAGCACAGAATTCATTTGTGACATTATTAAGGATTCATTTGAAAAATAAGATTCCTGCGGTAATGATAATATACAGCATATTATACATATTCTTATCATTTAAAGAGTACTGCACACATAAATCCGATCACATGTAGTATTATCCTCAAACTTTATTGTATTGAATATTAATGTATCTCACTAATGCATTCTAAGCTTCCTATTGATGAATTCTAAGATTTCCTGTTATTAGCTTGTAAAATCTAACTATATTGAGGAAACCTAAAAAGCAACTAAAATTAGGGAAATTCTACTTTAAAATGTTATAAAAGGGGATGATATTATGTAAATTAATATTGTTTATTATTATTAAAAAGATGTCTTGAATCCAATCTTTGTTAATGCTAAAATGTGTATGATTGCAATTGTGTTGTAAACATGACAGATTGAATGAATTGAAGGAAGTGCAATATTTTTGTAATTTGCAGCATTTAACTATAATTTTCCCTTCTGAAAATTTACATTACATTAGTCCTGAGCTTATATGTTCTGACTTACGATGCCTCACTTTTGACACGACCAAATACTAAGATTAAAAAATTCTCTAATAAGTTAAAAAACAAATTCGAGAAGTAGTCGAATGTTATCGAGAAGTATATGAATACACACGCATACCCACACACCCACACACACAAATAAATAAATAAAATAAAACAGTTTCGAATTTTCTGATTAAAAAGTCTATAAAGCATTTTGTCCTCCCTTATCACGTTCTATTAGGGTGTAATTCGAAGTACATCCGACTGGCCGTCGAAAAGTACAGAGTTCGTACTCCAGCGAGAAAATTGCGGATTTCCTGGATTTCTAAACTTTGAAAAGATTAAGAGATCTACAAATCTGCTTCACTTTATAAATTTTTCAGTGAATCATCCAAATGAAAACAATTACTCGGTTATTATTTTTAGTCTAGGTCCACTTTTATATGTTTCTGTGCTTTTGTTCATGTTAACCAGTTCAAAGGAAGAGTATTAATATATGTACGTATGTATGTAGTGCATAAATATATGTATTGAAATAAATGTTTTATAAATGTTGCACAAGTTTTCACATGCTTAACTATTTTTTTAAATAAAGACCTAATTTATGAAAATATTATCAAAAATAAAACAGGTTCCAGGTTTACGTCAGAATTGACTTACGATGGGATTCCTGAAAAAGCACTTGTTGTAAATATTTATATCAATATTTATAAAAATAATTTTTACAGCTGGAGAAATATATTTAATGATTAGGAAAAATTTCGAATGTTCTTAAATTTTGATAAATATTTTATGAATGTTGAATCTTACAAAAGATTTTTACTAAATAAAGCAATAAAATAGAAACCTAAGTAAAGACAGAAAAAGAATCCTCCGGAATCGAATGCCACTTGTTGACAAGGTTGTATTGTTTAAGAAAATAAATAATGTTTAATAAATAATATAAAATGTTTAATAAATATTATTAAGTTACTCATCTATGCAATATGTTCAGTAAGCTAAAACTGCAATATTGCCTGTAAGAAATTCGAACTGTTAAATATAGATGAGTAAAAAGGAACATTAATATTCCCAGCGCTCTGTCTGAAAACTATACTGACATACTGTCGACAGTTTTAAGAAATCAAGTTTTTACAAAAGGAAACCCTTATTCTGAATGTAAATTAGTATTACGTATTATTATGAAATACAAATAGAATATCACCTTTTATATATAAAAAAAATTATGTTATATTTGTGTTTTCCACTCCATTTTAGTGTTATATACCTTATTGTTCAAGATAAATACAATGTTACTTTTTTTGCAGACATTTATAATCTGAACAGTGATTTGATCACTATTAATCCTGATGCAGTAGAAACAAATATGCTGTTGCTTAATTTCCCTTCATCTCGCTTCACATCTCAGCAGTTTGTAGACAGAATGGCTCTGGTACGTAAACTGTGTTAATGTTGTAACATTTTTAAAATCTTATTATCTTTGGAATGTTTATGGATAATCTTAATTTAAAATATAATACGTTTCTGAGAATATGAATTATTTATAAATTTCATGATAAGAAATATTACTGGAATTTAAAACATTCCTTTTCGAACATTGAAGATTGCTACAGATGAGATCATTAACTAGTCATTTATATATTAAAAGTAAGTTTCACATATTAAAAGTTTGTTCATTTATTTACGTTTTCAGTTACAATATGTACTGCTGCCATTAATATTGCAACACCACGAAGATATAACTTGCGTTAGGCTAAACTGATTACAAAGACAAATAACAGATTACAATATAAATAGTATACCTTATAGCCATCAGGATGTGTTTTCAATACTTCAGTGCATGCACGTTTGATATAATGCTACATTTCATTTATGGTATATATACCTAAATGGTGATTCTAACATAACCTTTCATCTATAAACAGATGTGTTCAGTTGCCACAAATCTGGCAGGAAATAGAAGCAGAGGCACATGGCTGCAATCAAAGTATTGTTTGCATTCTATATGTGATTTTATCTGGTCTTACTGACAAATAATTTCAGGAATATTATCGATACTAAATTTTTTATATTTTACTTAGGTTTGATAACATGTATTGCTGATCATTTAAAGTACTGCTTTAAGAAGCACCAAAAGAAAAAGGAAAGCAGTATTTATCAAAGATAGAACTTGCGCTGCAAGGAAAAAAGGCGTATGTAGAAAATTCTAAAACCTATGGATTACAAAATAATTAGTGTCAGCCATCGCCTTGTTTCACCAAAAGCGACAATAAGTTCCATAATACAATTTGGCATTGAAAGGATGAGACTTCGGATATACGTTTGAAATATGTAAATCTAATCACTTTCAGTATCATGTCAAATTTCATTCCTGGTGACAATTTTATTAGGATAGTCATCAGAAGACAATGGACAACATGGAGAAGTATAATGGCATATCGGATAAATATGTAGCCTGCAAAAGTGGAGCAAGCCGTTTATCCTAATACTGTTCAGGGTTGCACTTCTCAGTTGGCGATAATATATATATATATATATGCCGCATAGAGGCAAGTAATTTCTGATTTGCAAGAACTATATGGTACTGCTGAAAAAGAAATTTTTTCCTACCTGTTGGCACGGGCTATAATGCGATTAAACTAAATGTTAAGGCATTTGATAATGCTGTTTTATGCTTCAGATTCCGTTCGTTCGTTTGCATATCAGGGTCTTATCATTGTCTCAGTGGGTTTTTCCTTCTCATCTCACTTCATGTCTTATTCCCATCCTTGAAGCCTGACATGAGCGTCGGTATTTCAGTGGGATTATCCGCCTTCTTGTAATCTAAGATTTGTAAATTCTATTCTGTCCTAAATTATATTGTATGTTTTCCTTTCGTCTACATATAGGGGCTGACTGAAAAGTTTTGAAGTCGCCTCTGTTTCTCTTTCTTGATATTAGGAGTGGTAACCCCGTATTGGGTGTAATGAAAGTTAACTTGCAGTTGAATAGTCATGAATCAGTATTTGGCCACCTATCTATGTGTATTTTGAACTTTCGTCCCGTTCAATGAAGAACATTGTGGGGACACAATTTTAAATCTTGTGCCGAAAATTCCCGAAGCAACTGATCAGCCATCCGCTCTCCATATGCATAAGGCTGAGAGCATTAACGTTGAATAACTTCCCTCTACTGGTAATTTGGTTAACCTCGTCAATGGTACACATTGGACCTTTGTTAAACATATAAAGTAATAAAAAAATATAGTAAGGAAGGAAAACGTATACTACAACACATACAGAGAGAAAGAAGATTACATACCCATTTCTATGATATAATTGTTCTCTTGCTCTTTGCAAATGTAGACAGGCTATAATCCTTAATTGCTCTTGAAACATGCAAATTCGCTTATGTAATATGATTAATTATTTATAATCACTGTGCCTTTGTTTTCAATAATATATTTCATAATTTGTTGAAGTGGAGAGACACACATTGTATTGCAGAATAAATATTTTGCTGGAATTTTTGATGCAAATCCAGTAAATACTTTGCCATAATAAGAAATGTACATTGACATATATATTATTTAGCATCTCCTAGTTGTGGTGATATTCCGCACGCATATCTTATATTTCTTGTTAAGAATCGCTGTGAATAAGATGGAAACATTCCATAATTCGTTGCTAATTGTAGTATCAGGAAATTTGCTTTTATTCTTTTTAGAGATACTTCTGAGAAGTATTCGTGAGTTAATCCTCCTGTATCTGGTTCGTTGCCCTTTCATTAAAACTTGCTTAGAAATTTTGTTCTTGATTTATGTCTCGGAATAGGAAGATGGATATCAGTCATCTTTTAATGTGGCTTCCTTAGCTGCTGCGTCAGCAACTTCATTCTCTAGTATACTTGCATGCCCAAGTATCCACTTTAGGCTAATAGGACTAATATTCATTTCCATTTTTATTGTTTCTTGAAGAGTTTGAATAAGATATTTTCATGAACATAACGCTTTTTATGAAAACTTTGGCTTTCATGAACATTTCCACGAACATTTTGGCTGTCTGTATAAATAGAGTTTACTTGGTCGTAGCGAAAGAGCAAGGCGTCTCTGTGATTATCCGGCAGATATGTGATTAAAGTTTGCCTTATACTTGGACTGTAAGATAACAGTTGGCATGTAACAGTATGTGTTAGGTAGAGAAACATTTAATCATGCTTCCGTATTTCGATGACAGTGGCAATTCAAAGAGATGAAATCGGAGTGATCAACAAACACGATTATTCTCCGTGATTGTTAATGCCAGCATTGCACGTTAATATACAGACAGTGCGCAATAACTATCATATAATCGTCTTGAAAAGCATTTGCAGGAAATCACAAGGGGGAAAAATAGCTGATACATGATCGACATGAAAAACAACATCCTGCCAGTTCCATATAATGGCATATGGAGCTTTACATAAATTATCAATTCCAGTTGATCGTTTGTAAATAAAACCTAATTTGTTTGTAAATTTTATGACTTCATGTTAATTATAAACAATACTCATTTTTATTAATTTATTCTCCCATAAAATGAGAAATAATAACTAAAAGTGTCCATATACACATTCGTTTGAAAATATCGCACCGATCCTCTGGTCATACAGTATTTGGATTCACATATAAAAAAATGACTCAACAAATACACAGTTTTAAAAGCAGTATATCATTAGGACTATCGACAGAGTAAAGTCCTGTGATATATTTCTTTTCAGTACTTTTTCAGTTTATTTATTAATTTCCTTAATAAGATGACCACCTTTTTTTTTATCATTTTAGCTTTATTTATGAAACATCACTCAATTCCGCCTAATAAAATCACAAAATCTTTAAAATCCAATAATAATCCAATAATAAAATCACAAAATCTTTAAAATCACCATATCTCGAGGATTTCCAATAAAATGTTAAGTGTTGGCACATATTTTTTTTAATAATCGCTATATATTTCTATAAACATAATACATACCGATAACATTTGGTCGCAGCATCCTCCTTTTTTGAAAAGTGATTCGACATAATTGTGAAACGGATACAAAATTAGAATTAAGGCTAATTTATTTAGATTACATTTAATTATTTCATAACAAGAGCTCGTCTCTATAATGGATAGATTACTCTCCTTACGTTTAGCATAATTCCAAGAATATATTTAATTCTTATAAAGGTAATATGTTATTCTCAATCACATACCTATTTTAAATACCAAATTGGAGAAGTTTCGGATCATTTCATATTTTTTTACGAAAGTCTGTTCAGAGCCTCAAGTAAAGTATTACCTTCGGTTTATCAGTTTTAGCCAAAATCTAATATGTTGTTCTCATTAATATAAAAGTCTTAAATACTAAAACTGAAAGTTTTGGATTATACTTTAATATAGATTTTCTTTAAAAACGTTTACGTGCTCTAAGTAAAGTAGAACTTCCGGTTGTCTATTAAAGACTGTTGTAGAGTTCCTCATTCTTTTTGTCTAAAGTAAATATCGAGGGACTTAGTGAACTTGTTAGCGACTTGAAGCTGAGCTCAAATAATAGATGTCGTAAACTCAATAAGGGTTAACTACACTTCATTTCACTCAAAATAAGATGAACAGTTGGCCGTTTATTCGGGCTTTCATTAAAGCCTCCACTCGGGCTTGAAATCAAAATAAGAAGTAACTGTAATTAATTAAGTGACTTAGCCGAGGCTAACACAAATCTTAACGTAGCCCTTAATTTAAACTAGCCGGCGAATATCAAAAGGCGCGTAATATGCGACCGAGCCTAATTGCTTTTAGAAAGACTTAGCCCAAAGGCAAACACGCGCTACTCAGGATTCCTATCTCTCTCTCTCTCTCGAAGTAAGTTTAACGTTCTTTAAGTGCTGTTTCTAACTCATTTGCATTCAACGCGTTTCTAAAAACTCATTTTGGTAGGGAGTTATAAGTGAAAACGAATAATTGATAGGAAAGTTTATCTAAATTAAAATAACTGTTATAAGATTAAAATATATCTTACACTGTTATCAGCTTCATGTAAAATAACATTTTCGATAGAAATTTTTGGAACTTTCATACAAGAATTTATAGTGTTCTAGCTAAAATAAAGTTATTTGACTGCTAGAATCTAGCAGAACAGTGTACGGACTATTCGCTAGACTCTGTTGTGTTAGTAACAACTCAGAAGAAGGGTTAAAATATTTTTATTTTAACTCATTCACAGATGGCTCTTGGGCGAACAGGAAGCACGCATTTTTGGTTTGAACCTAAAATAGTAAGTGTTAAATTAAACTAATGCTAAGCAGATTAGCATAAGCTACACAGAGTTGTTTACCGCGTAGTTGGCTCATGGCTAAAATCACCGACATAGACTAACAAGCACGTAATAAGCACGGCCGTAATCTAGCAAGCTTTAACTCGTAGCAACAACGTGACTGAAAAGCAGAACACGCTCTCTCTAACTGAAGTAACTCAGAAAAATTCTCTGTAAATTCAGAATCACAATACATAAAACATTGCTAAAATCCGCATTCAGCAGAGTCAAAATCTTGAAAGGGTCTCTTTAATAACCATAGGTCACAAATACCCATCTTCTGAAGTAACTTTATAAATTCCGCTACAAATTTTAACATTCTGTAGAGATTTTTGACTAGGCCTAGCAACAATAGATTGCTCCTCCAACTGAATACAAATGCGGATAGTCATATAACAGGCGTTACAGCACTTCAGCTGGTGGTAAGTAAGTAAGTAAGTAAGTAAGACCTGAGCTTAAACAGTAGTTTCTACCCTATTTGCATAAAGGGTAAAACTGAAAATACTTTCTGGCAGGAAAGCGTAGATAGCAAAATGAGGAAGTAAAAAAAAAAGCTATTTCTAAAATAAAAATAAGTACTACAAAAATAAAGTAAGACCCTACAAGTTATAGGGACAAAACAATCGCCACATACATACAGACACACAGAAAGGACAGGCATCATCGTAAAACTAGCAAAAATCTGCTGTAGTGATACTAATTTGCAATTATTCACTGAAAACTCATTATCGATTTTTTGGACCAAAAACGTTACTTGTGTATACAGGTTGGGGAGGTACAAAAACCAGATTTGTTGAGGAAAAACCGTGGCTTGGTTTCCAGGACGAATCCCGGCTGCATGTTTGCTGATGTGGCTTTAGGAGTATTATGTAAACGTTTTGAAAGCTATTTGAGTGGAACCATAAAAGAAACAAAAGCCCAGATTCATTGAGGAAAAACAGTCGTTCTGATCCAGGACAGTCCCTGGCTGAGCGTTTGTAACTGTGACATTAGCATTGCGTAAAATTGCTCTACATGCTACGTGCAGATGTTCTAGTGTAGAAAAAATGCATAGACTTAATAAAATGGAATTTCTGGACATCCTCAGTATTGAAACGATAACTACAAGGAAAGAAATTCTCTTATGAGGAAGAATAAAACGGCATGTCCGCATTGCTACAGAGGATGCCACACGAGTCTTTTATGTCTGTGAATTGTTTATAAAACCCTATGAAAAGTGTAATTCAATGTGAAATACTCAAATTTGAAAAGCAAAAAATAATTGGGCCGTATAATTCTAAGCAAGAGAATGAAATATTAAAGTACCCTAAATGAGAATCGATTTTACTTAGAGTCATCTTATTCTAAATAAGAGAATAAAATCTCAAAATGTTTCAATCCGACTATGCATAACATAAATATTGGAGCCAGTTCAAAGCATGCTTCTTAGTCTTGCCTTGTGTAAACTGGCCAAATGTGTAACTCTGTATACAATGAAAAGTGGTTTCATATTATTTCATATTGATCCTTAAAGGCATCAGTCATTAAATTTCTCATTTTTCTTAATCTAGATAATTAAATGAAATAATACGTTTAGTCATCAAGAACAAAAATTTACTACATTACTCTTCTTAAAGTCTGAATTTATATGCATTAACTTACAATGTCAAAGCTGTATTTGGTTCTGACTACACTCAAAACATATCAAAATTTGAAAGCAAATTGTATAATATTGCTCTTTTCAATCTCTTAGGTAAAAGAAGAAGATCCAGAACAAGTTTTAGTCAAGGCTTCGACGTGGTTCGGTAACCGAGTGCGCTTTGTTCTGCATTCAGATCTCTCTGAAGACGATGTAGCATCTGCTTTTCGCAAAATCCAGAGCATCGCTGTGTAAATAAAGAATGAAAATAAAAATCTATTATCACTTTAAGATGCAGTTATGCTCGATCATTAAGACAATATAACGGCAGTAAATTTTATGAAGAAGCAAATGCATATAACAAATCATAAAGCAAAGAAACTATAATAAACTTTTCTTTCGTAAAAAGAAAAAAAATGCTAATTATAAAAACTGTAGTTTGTTTGTTTGGATAGAATTTAAAAGTTTGTAATGCATAGTAGATAGCTCGGCATAAAAACTTCTAGTTGATACAATGCTTATTTCAAATTATATCATATATTTCGTATTTTGTTACTTAAGTAATTAAACAAATTCCACCATATCATTGAAACAATACATAAAATAACAGACCATCTAAGAAATTCAACAGAAAGAATAAATACACAAATTTCCAATTAGAATTGATTTATCAGTGTGTTATGTATGCTCGCAAGATAGAATCGCGTGTTAACCTGCACGTGTTCAATCCCTGGAATAATTAGATGCGTAGAACAGGAAGCGTTGATATTTATTACAGCTGCAAATGGGTAACAGCTAATACAATTAAGGCAATAAGAAAGCGTAGCATTAGCAGTACCAAGATGCCCGGAAAAAATCCTTCTTAAAGCAGGATCACAAATAATAATCCAAAAATATAGGATGTAACAAAGAGTACTTCTTCTTGAAAACTGCTTCAACTTCTGATTTCAACACAGAAAGCGAGGTTGTGTATCAGAAAGTACAAGTACGTCCGGATAAAGCTAGAGGTCGAGTGGATATTTTCCAGACGTATAGCGCTAGGATGTCACAGTCTGACGACAGTAGACATTTTGATAACAGGAAGAAATTTTCCATCGCGACTGTCGATCGCTAATATAAATCACAAAAGAGGAAACTAGGAGTAGACAGAAAGAATTTAATCAGGTGTACTAAAATACAGAGGATAGAATTAATCCGGAAGGAAACAAATCGCTCTCAGATACAATTAAATAGTATTAATAAAAAATTGTTGCTCGCAGTGATTCAAGTACGGGAAAAGTTTTTTCCTAGTGTCTAAAACAATGCATAAGACCTATGATATATATGTTATCATTAGTATCCGATATTGGCCCAA